GACTACTGCTGGAGCCCACGATTGAGTGGACGGTTGAAGAAGCGGCCACCATGACGCTCCGGTCCACTGGGGAACGACGAGCGTGAGTTTTGTCTGCGTCAGTTCTGCGTGGCGGAGTGTAGCGGGAATTAAGTGTGGAGGCGGGAAGGCAAAGCATCGCTCGCCTTTCCACGAGATGGAAAATGCATCGACGGCGAATGCGTCGGGGTGCAGTATCTTGGAGCAGAAGCGCTGAACATGATTGTTCCGAACGTTAGCAAAGAGATCAATTGTGTGAGGCCCCCACCGTCGTTCCAAGAGGCGAAACCAAGGTGCATGTAGGGAGTAGTCGTCAAAATCTTGCATCTTAGATAGGTCATCCGCATGGGCGTTGAGCTCCCTCGGAATCCATTCGATCGCGAGGCGTGTTGTGTTGCCGAGGCAGAACTGGATGATCGCTTGGCATGTCGACGTAAGATCCGCCTGACGGGATCCCCACTTGCGCAAGATAAACATGACTGCCTGGTTGTCCACCCGGACGAGGACGTGAGCGCCCACGATTTGGGTTGCGAACGTCCGCAGTGCCCAGAGCACTCCCTCGAGCTCTCGCCGCGTACTAGATGTGGGGAGAAGCCCTTGTGGCATGCACTCGCTTGCCTCGCATGATGTACTTGGGAACTTGGCCAAGGTGGCACCCCAGCTGTGCGCGCTCGCGTCGACGTGTATCACTGCATCAAAACGCAGACTCTGGTTGAATGGGGCGCCATTGAAACGATCAAAGTGCATTGTCCAAAACAACAGCTCCTCGGTCGCTCCTGGTGACAATAAAACCTTTGAGTTCCATGACCATGCGGAGTCGATCAAGTGGAGCAGCTCATGGCTGAAGGCCCGCGCCGTCGTGCCCAGCGCGAGCGACATGGAGCTGAGAAATCCAGTGATCCGGGCTATCTTGCGAATCGGCACTTGACGACCCGATTGCCCTTTTTGTATAAGTAGGTGGAGCTCCTGCAGTAGTTGTTCGCGCCGATCCTTTCCGACCAGGAACATCCCTCGTTCCGTGTCAAGCTCCATCCCCAAAAATTGCAAGTGGTGTTCGGGATGCAGGTGTGATTTCTTAGAATTTATCACGAATCTTGCCGCCTTCAAGTCGTGGAGAACTTCGACGCACGTCGAACGGGCTTGCGCCTCGGAGTTGCAGAGGAATAGTAGATCGTCCACGTATGGTATTACGCGCACTCCGCGCGCGCGCCATCGCCTGGCTAGTTGCTTAATAAGCTGGGTGAAGATGAGCGGGGCTATTGCCAGGCCGAAAGGTAAGGATGTGAAGCAATAGAATTTTCCACCCAATTGAAAGCCCAAAAACTTCCAGCATGATGGGTGGATTTCGACGTGGTGGTAGCCTGACTTGAGATCGATTGTGAACATCCAGTCGTGTGGGCGAATGATTTCCGCGACCCGACTCAAGCCTTCGTACTTGAACTTGGGAACTTGGAGGTGAGCGTTGACCTTCCGCAGGTCAAGGATGAGCCGGCATTTGTCTCGTTGCTCCACAACATTGAGCGGGCTGATGCACGTCAGTGCGGCTTTTGACGAGACATGCATCGCGGCGCCTGACGCGATGAGGTCGCTAACCGTGTCTTGGGTGAATGCCATGTGTGCTTGAACGCCTGCGTGATTGGGCGCTTCGAAGGGGAGAGGCTCTGCGCCCTTCCATGGTAGCCAATACCCTTTGGCAATGATGGAAAGGATAAGACTGCTGTCGCACCATGATAGCCACCAATGGAGGCTGTTGCGCAATCGCATTCGCATGATGGACACCATGTTGTCCGTTATTGCGTGCTCGTATGGGTCCCAATGAGCACTCCGCCACTCGCCTTCCACTTCTGCAATTAATGGGCAACCGAGGTTGTGTGGGGGGGGGGGGGGGGGGGGGGGGACCAGGGCCAAGGTCGATTAGACGCGAGATAATACGGGACACTTCGTCGGGCAAACTATGTCGCTTGTCTTCTACCGCCGTCGTGCCTCCCCGCACTCCCGGGATTTTTTTTTTCTTTTCTTTTTTTACTTTGCTTGCGCAGTCATCAGCTTTAATACCCTTGCAAGGTTTTTTTTTTTTTTTTTTTTTTTTTTTTTACATTGCCTTACAACGAGATCGGCGCATTTGCGTCACTTGGTCCCACGACCTTGTTCATCACGATATCATCGTGATAGTTCCTCTCTCTCTCTCTCTCTCTCTCTCTCTCTCTCTTTCTCCCTCTCTCTCTCTCTTTCTCTCTCTCTCTCTCTCTCTCTCTCTCTCCCTCTCTCGCTCTCTCTCTCTCTCTCCCCGTCTCCCTCTCTCTCTCTCTCTCGCTATCTCTTTCTCTCTCTCTCACTCACTCTCTCTCGCTCTCTCTCTATCTCTCTCGCCCTCCCTCGTTCTCTCTCGTTCTCTCTCTCTCTCTCTCTCTCTCTCTCTCTCTCTCTTTTTCTCTCTCTCTCTCTCTCTCTCTCTCTCTCTCTCTCTCTCTCTCTCTCTCTCCTTCTTCTTTGTGCTTCTCTCGGTCCTTGCTTTGTCTTGCACTCTTGGCCAATTCCTCCTCCGTGGCTGCCTTCCTCAAGAGGGGGCTGATGTTTTATTTGTTGTGCCATTTGTCTTCTCGTTTCGTGTTGGCTCCCTTTCGCTCTCTCCATTGTTCGTTTTTTATTTTTTTTTCAATAACAACAATCTTTTATTAATCCACACAAAGGCATACAAGCCAAGCCTACACCATAACCAGCCCCTACGGCTGCCATCTTGCCCTGGCCCCCATGGCCTATCCTACTCCCCAAGGCTCCTAACCAGCCTACGCACCACCGGTGCATCCACCTACGCCCCCCGGCATAGTGGCAAGGGGCGCCGCCCCATGGGTCCTCTCACACCACGGGTGCGGGACCTTGTGCGCCACGCCCTCCCATAGGGCAATTATTTGCCATATGGCCGGGCTGGCCGCAACGGAAACACACCCCCTTGAAGCGGGGCTCGTGGCAGCCCGCGGGTGGCATGCCTTTGCTTTCCGGTTCACCGTCTCAAGGGGGAAGGCGGCCTCCGCGGGCGAAGCCGGTACGTGCACGCTTGAGGGCCGCCACGTCGGCTACCGCGAGCTTGTACGAGCGGGATGTGAGCACGCTCTTGGCTTGGTACAGCTGGAACCGATCTGCCGCTTCGAAACCGGCCTCATCCGCCACCAAGAGCACCTCGAAGCGTTTGTTGATCAATGTGTCGACTTGCTCCACGTTGGAGAGCGCGCCCTCGACGTCGCCGTTTTGGAGCTTGAACTCGACGTGCCTCAGGTGAGCTTGAATTGCAGAGAACACCTCCGCCTGGTCACGCACTCCCTTGCGCATGAAGGTAGTAGCTGCGGGTGAAGGGTTGAGGGGGGGAAGGGGAGGTGCGGGTGCGAGAATGCGACGACGGGCAAGGTTGTCGGGGGCCTCACCGTCTTCATTTTCTGAGTCGTCGCTGTCGTCGGGGATACGGGCTTGGGTTGGTGCCGGAGCTGGGGCGGGAGCAGGAGCAGCGTTGTTGGTGCGAGCAATTTTGGTGGAGCGGGGAGCCGCGACAGGTTCCTTCTGCTTTTCGATTTTAGCTGACGCAGAAATTTCTTCAGCTGATGTAGCTGCAGTCGACGGTGCGTGCTGCTGCAATAACGAGAGCAGCGCCTGAAGTTGCTGCGCGGTCAAAGGGGTGGGGGCGGCGTTGACCGGGGTGACGTCAGCGGAGGGTGCCGCGCGCTGGCGTTTCTGGGTCGTGGGCCCGGATGGACCCGCGTCAAAACCGGTCAAGACGACCGCCGCGGCGGTCGTCGTCTTCTGCGCAGCACGCGCGTGCCTGCTAGGGACGCGCTCTTCAGCAGCAGCCACACGCGACTGTACAACAGTCGCGCGTTCCTCAGGGGGGGTCCGAAGGGTGCCTCCAAGCAGGAGGTCGACCGCGGAGGGTCCCTCGCTTGAAATTTCCTCGGCGGGACGTTTTCCGCCGCGACGATCCGTTGTCCCGGCCGGAGTCGAGGTTTCCGCCGCGTTACCGGGGCTAGAATTATTCGAATTGTCGCGGTTAAGTGCCGGGTTGACCGGAGCCATCGTTGCGAGGTTGCGCTTAAGGATGTCGTTAAGGTGCGTTGACGGGGCAGTGAAGCGCGGAAGCGACTGAGTCTTCGCCAGTGTGGACGAGAACGAAATTAGAACTACAATTTTGAAAATGAAAACGTGGGTGGGGACGAATGTCCCCACGCCCCTCTTTTGTAGGCAAAAGAGAGTGAGTAGCGCTTCGGCACTACCTTTGCTATGTTGGCCACGTACCCCTTTTCACAATACAAAATTTTAGAAAGTGTTACGTTTCATTACACTTTCAAAAATTATCATTTCAACAATAGAAATTTGTTGGTGCTTTTGCTTTAGCCGGAATAGGGTATCAGCAAATGCGGGAGTTTTGTTGTAACTTTGGCCGTGGAAGGGCATACTCTACAAGTACCTTGGTGATGATAATGGGCTATGGAATGCTATACTGAGAGAGGCTGATAAATCTATGGTTGTGGTACGAGAAGAGATAATGGAGCGAGAAGTCCGTAGAGAATATGTAGTGGTTCGTTGTAGATCTTCATATGTTCGAGAGGGAGAGTGGTGTACAGTATCGCATGCCACGAGCAGTGGGGGGCAGGGGTGCAGGGTGACGGCGAGGGGGCGGGTGTGAAAAGGAAGACACGTGGCGGCCAAGGCGGATCAGCGAGACGACGCAAAACAGGTGAGGCTAGAGTGGTTGTTTGGAATGGCCGCCTTTGCGTTGAGGGCGTTGGAGATTGGTGCTTTGTCAAAGGTGAAATTCTGTCCATTTATGCCCTAATTTTATCTTTTCGAATGTCCGTGTGCTAGTCTTGAAGCAGCCCCTTTGCAGTGCTTGCTTCTTGTTGCAGCAACAACATGAGAAGTGCTGTGTACACATCACATTCTTCACAGCTCTGGGGGGGCAAAGCTCATGCTACTGTTTGTATCCTCCTGGTCGTATGCTCGCTGTTGCCTTGCCCCAGACTCAGGTGAAGGGACCACGTTTGAAGGAAGCGGCTGCTGGGGAGGAGGATGCGGCTGCTGGGGAGGAGGAAGCCGCTGCTGGGGAGGAGGAAGCCGCTGATAGGGAGTATGAAGAGGGACATGACCTCGAGTTTATGCCTGGGAGGATGGATTCTGCTCTAGAAGACCTTGAAGAGGGTCAGGGGGAGGAGGAGAAAGAAGAGGAGGATGGAGGAGGGGGGGAAAGGGGTCAGGGATGTGAGGAGGGAGGAGCAGGAAAATTTGGAGGAAACCAGCCAATCAGGGATGACACCACGAAGGCCAAGGCAGAGGATTGCAGCGGCAAGGAAACCGCATTTGCCACCTTCCCATCGCTCTCCACTCGCAGCTGTAACGACCCGGGCTACCGGCAGAGGCCAGCAGCGCGCAGGGAGCAGGAGGAGGAGGAGGAGGAGGAGGAGGAGGAGGAGGAGGAGGAGGAGGAGGAGGAGGAGTATGCGGAGGACGACGAGGACGAGGAGGACGAGGAGGACGAGGAGGAGGAGGAGGAGGAGGAGGAGGAGGAGGAGGAGGAGGAGGAGGGGGGGGTGGGGAGGAGGTGTAGGAGGAGGGGGGGGAGGAGGTGGGGGGGGACGGGGGGGAGGTGGAGGGGGAGGAGGGGGAGGGGGAGGAGGGGGAGGAGGAGGGGGAAGAGGAGGGGGAGGTGGAGAAGGGGGAGGAGGAGGGGGAGGTGGAGGAGGAGGAGGATGTCGTTGAGGTGCCGACGTGGATGGAGATGGAGGTGGATGAGGAAGATGAAGAATGCCAAGAGGAGGATGGGGAGGACGAAGGAGAGGAAGTTGAGAAGGGGGTTTATCGACGGCGGGCAGCAGTGCGCACGGAGAAATCGAGGCAGGATGTTATGGAGCGTCTGGCCCAGCTTGCTTGGATGGGTATGCAACGCCTCGTTGTTCCTTCCATCATGTCCATAAAAGAGCAGCTGACTACCGTGGGCTTGACCCAGGCAGACAAGGATGCCTGGAGCGGGGGAAGGGGCACACGAGCAAGGACGGAGAGGGTGAGGGTGGCGAGGGGGAGCAACGGGAGATGGGGGTGGGAGGGAGTGGTGGGGCGGTAGGAGCTGGTGAAGGAGTAGAGGAAAATGAGGATGAGCTTATCCAGCGGAGGGCGCAATTTCTTGGTGTCAGGAGCGTGACAAGGCTGACTATTGGGAAGAGAGTAGATTGGGGTGTAAGTGATGCAAGGGTGTGGGGGTGAGAGCAGATGCATTGATGGCAAGGGTTAAGGAAGTGGAGATGAGAATGGGGAAGGCGATCTGGTGTGGATGGTTGTAGTGTGGAGGAGTGATCGATAGATGGTTATAGTTGTTGGATTCTGAATGTTGTTTTTTTTTTTTCTTAAGTTTCTGTTTCCAAATATGCTACACAACCTATGTCCTTTTCTTGTATACAACCCTCTTGTTCAATCCCATTTATTCTTTTGTGTTTTTGTGTTTTTTTATTTTTATTTTTTTGTTTTTCCTTTGTGTTTTTTTTTATGGTAATACTAGTACACGTTGATGTTACAGCATATGATACTTGTTCATGTCAAGTTATGTGCACGCATGTGGTTAGTAGAAATGCAACAGCTTATGTGTGAGTAGTGCAATAGCTTATGTGCACATTCGCAGCAAATAATATACTATGCAGACCGTTACTACTATATCAAATAGACACTTGTTGTTTGTTGCACCCGAGCAGACACGTATTCTTAAATTTTGTTGCATTAATTGATATTACGATATTTCATTTATAACCACCTGATTCCAACCCAATGTTTCACATACGATAGAAGCATTGAACAATGAACAATATATTAAGCTGAACACATTTGATCTTCCTCTTGTCACCACAGCCCCCTTGTCATTACGCTATTGTCAGATAGTGCGTGCATGTGTGAAGCCGTTGAGAGGGGCGAGGGGCCGGACCGCCCGCCGCGGGGGCCGTGGCCCGGGCCCGGGGGCCGGGGACGACCGCCCGCCGCGGGGGCCGTGGCCCGGGCCCGGGGGCCGGGGACGACCGCCCGCCGCGGGGGCCGGGGCCCGGGCCCGGGGGCCGGGGACGACCGCCCGCCGCGGGGGCCGGGGCCCGGGCCCGGGGGCCGGGGACGACCGCCCGCCGCGGGGGCCGGGGCCCGGGCCCGGGGGCCGGGGACGACCGCCCGCCGCGGGGGCCGGGGCCCGGGCCCGGGGGCCGGGGACGACCGCCCGCCGCGGGGGCCGGGGCCCGGGCCCGGGGGCCGGGGACGACCGCCCGCCGCGGGGGCCGGGGCCCGGGCCCGGGGGCCGGGGACGGACCGCCCGCCGCGGGGGCCGGGGCCCGGGCCCGGGGGCCGGGGACGACCGCCCGCCGCGGGGGCCGGGGCCCGGGCCCGGGGGCCGGGGACGACCGCCCGCCGCGGGGGCCGGGGCCCGGGCCCGGGGGCCGGGGACGACCGCCCGCCGCGGGGGCCGGGGCCCGGGCCCGGGGGCCGGGGACGACCGCCCGCCGCGGGGGCCGGGGCCCGGGCCCGGGGGCCGGGGGAACGACCGCACCGCCGCGGGGGCCGGGGCCCGGGCCCGGGGGCCGGGGACGGACCGCCCGCCGCGGGGGCCGGGGCCCGGGCCCGGGGGCCGGGGACGACCGCCCGCCGCGGGGGCCGGGGCCCGGGGCCCGGGGGCCGGGGACGACCGCCCGCCGCGGGGGCCGGGGCCCGGGGCCCGGGGGCCGGGGACGACCGCCCGCCGCGGGGGCCGGGGCCCGGGGCCCGGGGGCCGGGGACGACCGCCCGCCGCGGGGGCCGGGGCCCGGGGCCCGGGGGCCGGGGACGACCGCCCGCCGCGGGGGCCTGGGCCCGGGGCCCGGGGGCCGGGGACGACCGCGCGCCGCGGGGGCCGGGGCCCGGGGCCCGGGGGCCGGGGACGACCGCCCGCCGCGGGGGCCTGGGCCCGGGGCCCGGGGCCTGGATGCCGGGGACGACCGCCCGCCGCGGGGGCCAGGGCCTGGGAGCCGGGGCCCGGGGGTCGGGGACGACCGCCCGCCGCGGGGGCCGGGGCCTGGGAGCCGGGGCCCGGGGGCCGGGGACGACCGCCCGCCGCGGGGGCCAGTGACGACCGCCCGCCGCTGGGGGCCGGGGCCCGGGGGCCGGGGGCCGGGGACGACCGCCCGCCGCTGGGGGCCGGGGCCCGGGGCCCAGATGCCGGGGGCCGGGGACGACTGCCCGCCGCTGGGGCCGGGGCCCGGGGGCCGGGGACGACCGCCCGTCGCTGGGGGCCGGGGCCCAGGGACGACCGCCCGTCGCTGGGGGCCGGGGCCCGGGGGCCGGGGACGACCGCCCGTCGCTGGGGGCCGGGGCCCCGGGCCCGGGGGCCGGGGACGAGCGCCCGCCGCTGGGGGCCGGGGCCCGGGGGCCGGGGGCCGGGGACGACCGCCCGCCGCTGGGGGCCGGGGCCCGGGGCCCGGGGGCCTGGGACGACTGCCCGCCGTTGGGGGCCGGGTCCCGGGGCCCGGGGGCCGGGGTCCGGGGCCCGGGGCCCGGGGGCCTGGGGCCGGGGACGACCGCCCGCCGCTAGGGGCCGGGGCCCGGGGCCCGGGGCCCGGAGGCCGGGGGCCGGGGACGACCGCCCGCCGCTGGGGGCCAGGGCCGGGGCCCGGGGGCCGGGGGCCGGGGACGACCGCCCGCCGCGGGGGCCAGGGCCTGGGAGCCGGGGCCCGGGGCCCGGGGGCCGGGGACGACCGCGCGCCGCGGGGGCCGGGGCCCGGGGCCCGGGGGCCGGGGACGACCGCCCGCCGCTGGGGGCCGGGGCCCGGGCCTGGGCCCGAGGCCCGGGGGCCGGGGACGACCGCGCGCCGCGGGGGCCGGGGCCCGGGGGCCGGGGACGACCGCCCGCCGCGGGGGCCAGGGCCTGGGAGCCGGGGCCCGGGGGCCGGGGACGACCGCCCGCCGCGGGGGCCGGGGCCTGGGAGCCGGGGCCCGGGGCCCGGGGGCCGGGGACGACCGCCCGCCGCGGGGGCCAGTGACGACCGCCCGCCGATGGGGGCCGGGGCCCGGAGGGCCGGGGGCCAGGGACGACCGCCCGCCGCTGGGGGCCGGGGCCCGGGGCCCAGGGGCCGGGGGCCGGGGACGACTGCCCGCCGCTGGGGCCGGGGCCCGGGGGCCGGGGATGACCGCCCGTCGCTGGGGGCCGGGGCCCGGGGACGACCGCCCGTCGCTGGGGGCCGGGGCCCCGGGCCCGGGGGCCGGGGACGAGCGCCCGCCGCTGGGGGCCGGGGCCCGGGGGCCGGGGGCCGGGGACCACTGCCCGCCGCTGGGGGCCGGGGCCCGGGGCCCGGGGGCCTGGGACGACTGCCCGCCGTTGGGGGCCGGGTCCCGGGGCCCGGGGGCCGGGGGCCGGGGCCCGGGGCCCGGGGGCCTGGGGCCGGGGACGACCGCCCGCCGCTGGGGGCCGGGGCCCGGGGCCCGGGGCCCGGAGGCCGGGGGCCGGGGACGACCGCCCGCCGCTGGGGGCCAGGGCCGGGGCCCGGGGGTCGGGGGCCGGGGACGACCGCCCGCCGCTGGGGGCCGGGGCACGGGGCCCGGGGGCCGGGGACGACCGCCCGCCGCTGGGGGCCGGGGGCCGGGGACGACCGCCCGCCACTGGGGGCCGGGGACGACCGCCCGCCATGCCCTGCCCTGCCATGCCCTGCCCTGTCATGCCCCGCTCCGCCCTTGTCCCCCCCCCCCCCCCACAGGCATGCCCTACCCCTGCCCTGTCCTGCAATGCTCCACGGATGAGATTATTCAACGCGACAGCCACACCATCCTAAAATCTTACACTCCTTCTCATTAGCTTTAATTGCAGGTTACCACTGTGAAAGGGAAGAGGCTGAAACCCCATCGGATCGGGAAGAGGATGTGGCAAACGCAATGATAAGAGATGCGGAAGAGTGGAGCGACGATGGTGATGAGTGGTGGGTAGCAAGCCGCTTTGACGTTGGAAGTGGAGGAGTGGGTGGCAGGTCGGGATGAGTGAATGGATTGTGTTTCAATCCCCACTTTGCCACTGTGGTCTTGAACATGCCATGCTTGATTGGGTTTAGTGGACTTGACTTTCTATCCTAAAGCCTGGCATGCTAGGAAGGAAATATATTCGTATCAATCTACATAGCGACACCTTGATTGGCCGCTTGCACAAATTATAGTTGCAATAGACAATCTAGGCAGTTACACGTGCGATTGAAGTTAGCTCGATGAACTACTCCAGTTCCTCCATGCATGCGACAAGTTAAAATAATGCCAACCCCATTAGCAACCAGTGTTTTCGCTATTTGCGTAGAGTTTTGGTCCTCATGCTTTTGTAAGCATGCACACGGGAATGGAATAATAATTATAAAAAAAAAAAAAAAAGAGAGAGAGAGAGAGAGGAGTTAGGAGTGATTGTGGCAGGGCGGCATATACATGCAGCCACGTTGCAGGCGGCAAGCCAGTTAGGGCAAGCGAAGAAATGGTGTGGGGCGATAAGGAAAGAGTGGCAGGGCGTCAGGGGGCACCTCCCTCAATGCCAGGACTGTGTTGCTGCTGGCCAGGGCACTCAGATCTTGATAGGGTGGGGCAGGAGGGTGGAGAAACGGGAAGGTTTTGTTGAAGTATATGCATGTTATCTATGTGTAGGCTATAGTGGGGTAGCCGATATGGGGTACGGCCCCTTCTAGGGTTTCATACTTGTACCCAACTCTTTCATAGTTCATCCGTTCCTGCTGCTAGATTCTGACATGGTTTCAGAGCACTAGGTCCGCAGGACCGTCTTTTTTTTCGGGCCCACCTACCGTTGTGGTTACCGCGCTACCCCACGTGTTGTCCTGCCTGCCCTGCCTTGTGACGTGCTGCGCTGCGCGCGCCGTCCTGTAGCCCTCACGCTGCCTCCTACTGCCCTAGGCCAGCGCGCTGCCCCTGCAGGCCCGTAGGGCCGGGGACGACCGCCCGCCGCGGGGGCCGGGGCCCGGGGGCCGGGGACGACCGCCCGCCGCGGGGGCCGGGGCCCGGGGGCCGGGGACGACCGCCCGCCGCGGGGGCCGGGGCCCGGGGGCCGGGGACGACCGCCCGCCGCGGGGGCCGGGGCCC